TCACAGCAGTATCTGAAGTGAGGGGAGCAATGCACTTTGCTCAGTCTCACCAGATAAAACAACACACAGCAAGCTTCACATCCTACCCACGTTAGAACTTGTGCACACTTGCAATCTCTTCCTAGGTAAGTGTGGCAGCAAAACTTTCTACACTTTGAAATACACCAACACTGTGCTATTACCATTTAAACTCTCTGATATTCCTCAACTTAACTGTAAGGAAGGAAATAAGTTTTTTGACCTCTAGTCAATCAAAAATAGCAACCATCATTTTCATTAACAGACAACATGACTGCATGCTGCGCAAGGCAACAAGCCTCAATCTACTTCCTAGCAAGTCTCACAGTGAATAACCACATTGAGTCATAATTTTCAGGAGTGCACAAATATACCCGTAATAAATTTAAAATGGTATTATAGCACTCAATCAGAGAAAGAGAAAACAGGCAAAGGAGAAAATATATTTTAGATCCTTATACTATGTTAATATATATGTTCGGTAAGGTAATTACTTATACAGAAACCAATGCAATCGTTCATTTCACAATTATTGAAATCAGTTTCTGAAAATAAGACTGAAGCAAGAATGGAAAAAAATCAGAAAGTGCTACCTTCCAACAATTACTTCATCAAATGAGATTTATAAAAACACAAGCCGAGGCAAGAGATTTAGCTCAGTGGCATAAGTGCCTGCCTTGCAAGCAGGCAGTCGTGAGTTCGATCCCTGGTACCGATAAAAAGGAAAAAGACCAAAAAAAAAAAAAAAAAAAAAAAAAAAAAAACCCCACAAGCTGCTGCCACCACACACACACACACACACACACACACACACACTCTATACACACAAAGCTGTGTTGTTTACAAAGCACATAACATTGTGTAGGCACCATGTCCCAGATAATCAATCAGTGAGTTTACACTGACTTTCAAAACCATCACGGGTGAGAGAGAGCAACAGTGAGCAAGCCAGAGAGAGAGAGAGAGAGAGAGAGAGAGAGAGAGACAGAGAGAGAGAGACAGAGAGAGAGAGAGAGAGAGAGAGAGACAGAGAGAGAGAGACAGAGACAGAGACAGAGAGAGAGAGAGAGAGAGAGAGAGAGAGAGAGAGAGAGAGAGAGAGAGAAGAGTGCACGTGCGCCAGTAAGTGCTTCCTGGTCACTGTCTTTATGTGACACAGTAACTTTTTGGTACACGAGTTACTGAATGCAGCTAGGACCTGGTTCCCTTTTCTAAAGCAAGAGCTGGCAAACCACAGCCCAAAGGCCAAATCTGGGCCAAAGTTTTTTTCTGTAAATGAAATTTTATTGGAACACACCTGTGTCATCTACTTATATTTTGTCCTTAGCTCCCGCTGGCTAAACAAAACACAGAGCATCAATATAGTGAGCTGGTAAGATGATCACTTCAGAGTTTCTGATGATTCTAACTTAAGAAACTTTATGATAATGTTAAGGATTAAGTATATGAAATGGTAAATTTCATCTAATTACCAATGTTGGAGTGTACATATACAGAAAAAATGGTTAATAGGCAGTAAACAAAAAGTTAAAACTCATTGTCCTTTGATGGCAAAATCTTGGATGATTTTATTCTTTTTTATTTTTTCCTTTCAGTAAATTTTCTACAAGGAATGTACAGTATATTCCATTTTAAGTAGAAAATATAAAATTAATGTTTAAGTTAAACAATAAAACTTTCTAAAAAACATGCATAAATATTGTCTGACAAGCCATAATCCCTTCTCCATTTGAAAAAAAAATGTGCTTTTTAATCAGCTGCTATATAGAAGTGCCCATTTCTTCTGCTACCATTCAAAGCAAAGGACATACTACAAATTGTCTCATTTTATCTAATTTCAACACCTCAGTAATGTACAGCAAAAAGTGGTCACTGTAAAAGATCTGCCTGCCTGAGAAGCCCTTTGACTGTGTATTCAAGGCCATGATAATCTCGGTACCATCATCCACAACTGTTGTCTACTGATTTCAAAGTCCATGTTATGGCCACTGTATTAATCCAATTTATCTTTCACTGTACTTCCTATTCAATGCTCACTTTTAAAAAATTTTAATTATGCCCTCACTCCAAAAAGGACTTCAGGCAGTCAATAATGTGTCACTGTCTTGGTAAAAAGTCAACTGCCTAATCAGAGGGCAGGGGCCTGCCTGGCAAACTCCAAGGGTGACTAGCCTCTGTAAGGAAGCATACCTCTTTAGGAGTACACAGCAGTACATGGTAAAGGCAGTCCTTGTCCTCTCCCAATGAGAGAACACAGTAGCAGAGAGAAACCTACCCACTCTGTGAAATACTCTGGGCCTGGCAATAGGCCGCTTGGAGTGGTGTGGCAGGGAAGTGTGGGCAGACATGGGCTCCACTGGTGCTTTATCTCTCTCCTCCCTCTGTCCCTGCATATCCATTCCCCTAGCACCCAGCCCAGGAGAGCAGTGTGCTGTATCCAACTTGGAATTGGCGTACACTGAAGCAGTAATGACAGAATCTAAAGGGAGAGGTGGGAAAATGAGTGGCCAGCTCTGTGGTGGACCCAGCATACACCTGCAGCCCCTCCTGCCTACAGGTGGCACTGTCACTTTCCACCTTTTGGCTTTATTCCTTCACCTGATCATAACTGCTGATACGATAACGGTCTAAATAGAGTGGACAACTCCCTAGTGCTAGCTGGAGCATCCTTCTAGACCATGATTCTTATTTCCCCAAGCAGAACCATTGGGGGTTCCCTGCAGAATCCCAGGCAATGCTATTATACAACACCCCACAATCTGACCAGGTCTACCTTCTGATCTTACCTGATCTGCTCCTCAGAAATTTCCCTGTCTAATGAGCCTAACTTTGCTCTCCTAGCACTGCTCACGCCATGTACACCTGTCTGCACGCCCTCTCTGCTTCTGTACGCACCTTGCCATAGGTGACACTCAGCTTCCACTTTTAGCTCTTGCTAGTTCTTAGGACCCCATAGCCCTTAAGGATTTCACTGTCCCCTGAGAACACTGCTGCCTCAATGTCATACATTTTATTCAGTGTTTGGTCATGTATCACCCTGGAATATTCAGGGGTTTGTGGCTTTACATAAGGTATCCACTGAGAGAGAAAAACTTTCAGGAGATATCATCTCTTCACCTGAAAGATGAGGTCCAAAGACCTGCCTTAGGTGCTCACTGTATGCACACTCTGGTGCTAGTGTGGCTCACTCAGTAGCAGCCAAAACTTAGTAACTTGGACAATGGACCAAGTGCACAAACCCCTGGGTCATGGAGACCAGGGCTCTCCATGTGGTGATGGTTCATGGGGACTCACCCATGAACTATCCAGTGATCAACACACAGTACCAGCAGGTAAAAGGAACAAGGCTCCCAGAAACTGACACATAGAGACCTTCAACAATGCAAAAAGGAGTAAGGGCCCAGAATGCGCAAAAGCAACAAGGCTTCCAGTAAGGCTGTCTTCCCTGTATCTTCTCACCTCCTGCTGAGGTGAGTTACCCCCTGGATGCTGCTGGCTTGAGCCCCTTTGGTCTGACAGCTTCGATCTTTCCCAGTTCTGGGCAGCTTCCCTGCAGCCATGTTTTGTTTCTCTCAGAAGGAATCTTCCCTGTGGGCTGGTACCCTATTTTCTTCTTGTGTCCTCAAGTGTGCTCCTGTACCCTCTGCCTCCTTGCCAGCCCACTGTCCCCACATGCTCTCTGGTGAGGTCCTCTAATACTCTCAGCCTTAGTCCTTTCTTATACTATTTCTGACACTTTTTGTTACTGGTACCCACCATGTCTCCTCCATTATGTAAATTACACTTGTGTTTACAGTTATGCCACCTCATGTAACTTGTGATCACCTCCACGTGGTGGCCATACTCCTTGGGTATCTAGTTTGCCATAACAGGCTGTACCATGCAGAGACCTGGACTTTGCTGGCAGACATGGTAGGGAAAGTTCAGATAGCAGAGACACAGCTATGCCTGCTGTGGTATGCCAGCCCCTCTCCTCCTCATCCCTAACTTCTTGGAGACAAGAAATATAGGAAGGAACCCCCGTACCAACGTACCACCAAGACTGAGTTTTGGGAGTGGAGAAGGAAGACAGGTAGCAGGGGCTGTGGTTCAGTCAGCCTCATTCATATGACCTCCTATACAGGCTTGGCTGCACAGGAAAAGCAAGAAGGCCAGTTCCTCAACACAGCAGCTCAGCAACCTGTTGCCACCCCTGCCCCAGGCATGGTCACCCAGAAGGGTCTCCCCAGGGCTAATCCCTCTGTTGTCATCATTAGCTCCTGGTTAACTCCTCCATAGTGTCTCCAAGATGTGGGCATGAGACCAAGAGACTAAGTTTCTGCTGCTGGGCTGTCTGGACAGAATCAAAAGCAGGCATCCTACTGACAGTTCAGTGCACAGGATTGCTGTGTGGCTCTTACTGACCCCACTAGAGAGACTCTACCGATTTACTGGGGACCCACTACTATATGCAAGCTTCTCACCAATACATAAAATGAAAAAGAAGACACTAAAGAGTGGCAGGGTGGCCTGGGAGGAAGCTGAATACATCCACAAATCCTGTGGCAAAGACTGCCAGTGATGTGGGTCTTAAAGGCAGGTTTTCCTGTTTGGATACTCAAACACACTTCTTCAGCAATTTCCCAGTGCTCAGCTCGAACAGAATGGTGGCAGGAAACAGGACATAAGCAACTTCTTCTGTTATAATAGCCCTACCTAGGAAAGTCAGTTATCTGTATGATCAATACTGGTACTATGTAACAACGCTTCCACAATTAGCAAGGATGTGCACATGGTATTCCTGCAAACCACAAAGCAGGAAACAGCACAGGACCTGATTCAGGAGGAAGAACCTGTTACTCTCAGATAAGTCCCGGTATCCACCTAGAGTTCTATGACACCAAGAGAAGACAAGGCACGCCCTCACTGCAACTTGGGCTCTGAAAACTCCAGCAGCCAACTTAGACCCCTGCATTCGAATCCCAGCCCACAAGGGCACTCACCACCGCAGGGCGATCTTGATGGGAGTGGTGAGACAGGATGTGAACAGGTCAGCTGGGAGGTCAGGGATCATGGGCAGGAGCTCGTTAGCCTCACAGGCCGCCAGCTGGATGCAGTTCTTCATCGATGGGGGCAAGGGCATCTGGGCAAGTGGGTGATTTGGGTTGATTGCTGCAACCTACGGGGAGAACACAGAAGATGCTGGCTTAGCTGGAGGATGAGCTGCACTGGAATGAGAAGGAAAGGAGACTCAACGAAGGCCTCAAGCTGTGGTTTTTCACCACTGAGCCCTTCTGGGAAAGGCTGATGGTTGAATTCTCCCCTCCAGGTTGATAATTAACTCATTCCCAAGTCCTTCTGGTAGCAGACTTAGTAGCAGAAGCAGAGGGGTGGTTCAAAGTGAATTTTTAATTTTTGTCTATCTTTACATTTCTCTAAATGTTCTACAAACAGATGTGCACTGATTTTGAAATCAGAGAGGAAAGTATTTGTATTTTAAAACTAAAAATGTAATCTCCATTGAAGGCAGGTAGTGACACCTGTCTGATTTTTACTTCAGTCATGAGGCAAAGACCCCAAGACACAAGGGTGATACCACACCAAGACAGCAGGACAGTCTCCAAGATGATTACTGTGCACTATGAGAATGCACACAAAATTTTCTTCTGACTTAATAAAATATAATTAAAAGTGTAAATTTTATAAGCTATGCAATGCAGCCTGTTGTAGTTTCTGTTTAACTGTCTCCCCAAAGCCTCCTACAGTCATGGGAAGCAGGCCTTTTGAAGGCAGCTGATTCTAGCATTTGCGATTGGTTCATTGTCTAGCACTGGGATTGGTGGTGTGAATGCTGCACCTGCAGGTGGCAGGCACACTATGTAAGGGAGGGAAGAAGGCATGCTTTTGCCCTTTTTGGTCTTGTTACTTGCAGCCACCATAAACAGTTGCCCCTTGGCCATGGCACCCTGTTTTGGAACCTGCTGAATATGGACTGAAACTTCCAAAAGCTGTAAACTAAATAAATCTTTCCTTTTTTCATTTTGGATGCAAGTATTTTGTCTCAGCAATGAGAGAAAGTACTTGTAAGACACAGTTAAATGTTAAAAAAATTATAGGACTGACTGATCTTAACCTATCACATGGCCACATGTGATGGGCTCCCAGAGAACCAGCAAAGAACAGTATTCAACTGAAAACAAAACCCTATACGCCAAACACAGCTATTCTAGCATGTGCATTTTGTTTTCTCTTCTCTGCTTCAAAAGGTACATGTGTGTGACAAGAGTTAAGTCTACCATAGGTTTTGCTGCCATTGTCAGAAATAATGACGTTCACAAGAATGCACAGGATTTGGGGCAGTAAAATTTAAGTGAAATGCACAAGGGGCTGTGCACATACATTGCTCTGCCTGCTCCTGAAAATAATAGTGAAGAACAATGTCAGGACCATTTCACCACAGGAAGCACTTCAGCTCAGGCGCAGAAAGGCAGTGCACAGCAGTTGTCTTGGGATGATCCTCAAAAGGCATGGGAAGCTCTGGGTGCATAAGAATAGTGTGAGCTCCCAAGTCCCGTCGGCAGCACTGCAAGGGTCAAATACAGGGTTGAAGGAAATGAAAAAAAAAAAACCTGACGAAAGCACAGGCTGCTAGAAAAATGCTTGCATTTTTTCTGCTGGCCTGGATTATAGTGCCTGAACATAATTTTTTTCTTTTTTATGGGTACCAGGGATCGAACTCATGACCACCTGCAAGACAGGTGTTTATGCCGCTGAGCTAAATCCCCAGCCCTGACATAATATTTAAAATAATAAAATCAAATTCAGAAAATATCGATCGTACAGGTAGGCACAACTTTCAGAATGCCATCACTCACTAGCCTGGGAGTACCCATTATTTCCCATGATGACAGCGATCTACCACAAGCCCAAATTTAATCCAGCTCCCTTAGGTTAGGGGTACTGGGTAATATAGCTCCGCCTAGAGCCTGATAAAATAAAGTTTAATGCCAGGAAGAACCACCTTCTAATGCAGTTTTATTCATTTATCAGGCCACTCAGCAACAAAGATCTGGAGAATTATGTTACAGAATGCTGATCCTTCCGCCTCTAGAGCTTTTAAAGTATTTGTTATTTAAGCCATTTCTTGGGCTTATTTCATAAATACCACATGGGCATGATGACATTTCTTTTGACTCTGACAACAGCAGATCTCTGAGAAGTGAAAGTGCCACACATCTGCAATCCCCAGGAGCAGCGAGGAAGGTGGACTGAGTCCAGCAGCACCACGCTTCACCACCAAGGGCCACTAACATTTCATGTCTTGCAAAGTACGTTTATGTATCACTATTTTTGCTCCTTACTAATAATTCTTTCTGGTTGCACAGTTCTTAATATTTCTCAAAGCTCTTTCATGTGTACCACTGCATATGCTTTTGACAACATCCTGATGAGGTAGGTAGCTTTCATCTCCATTTTCAAAGGTCTTCAGCAACAAGGAAGCAGAGGCCTCGAGAAGCAACATAACTCTTCAGCTGCCAGCTGAGGACAAGGCTCAAGTGCCAACAAGGTACTTCTGCTTTTAGGCCACTTTTCACTCCAGCCTCTGCCGGGCATCTGCAACACCAATGTTCCATGCAGCACACTCAGCACCTTTTAAATCAAATCCACAGAAAGCTATATTGGCTCCTGGGGAGCAGCTTACTGATGATAGTGTACAGTGTTGTCTTAGTTACTTTTCTCTCATTGCTGAGACAAAATACCTGAAGTCCAAAATTAAGGAAGGAAAAAAGGTTTATTTTGCTCATACTTCGTGGAGGTATAAGTCAATACTCCACTGCTTCTAAGGCAGGGCGGTGTGGCACGGGGCCACAGTTTCTGGCAGTAGAAGATACAAAAGCAACAAGAGCCAAAGGAGGCAAAAGAGATGAGCAAAGCTCTTTCCCTCCAATGTACACAGGCTTCCTGCCCCCGTGAGGGTATAGCACTCACACCGCCAATCCCAGTCCTAGACAATGAACCAGTCACAAACTCTAGATTCAGCTGCCTCTAAAAATTCCAGCTCCTCCATGACCTCATGAGGCTTTGGGGAGACACCCAGATACATACCATAACAAATGTGATCTTGTAGTACCCATAAACTCTATCTTAACATCTTGAATTTCTCAAATGCAAGGTACTAAAGGCTTTGTGTTTTATCAATAATCCCTTCTGATAAAAGAACATTAAACCAAAAGTACAAGTCAAATACATGTATGCAGAATAATAAAATATAAACCTTTTAATTACAAATAGCAATTTCTAGAAAATGGGTGTTTTTATTATAGTAAATTATATGTAACAGAAAATTTGCCATATTAGCTATCTATTAATTGACTCCAACACTGGGGAATCAATCCCAGGGCCTCACATAAGCCAGGTAACTATTCTATCACTGAGCTATACTCTTAGCCCTGTGCTGCCTATTTTAGATGCAGGTTAAGGGCTCAGCAGCACTGAGGACATCCAGGCTACTGTGCAACCACCAATAACATAAGGACTTGTAAAAAGGAACAGCAAAATCATATTTAAAATAATTTCCTGGACTCTGGCTGTATAAACTAACACAGATCAGCAGAGCAACAGCTCTGCACAGGAAATTAGTTTCCAGGTCCACGGCATCGACCCTCCCACGCCAGATGACTGGTCTGGGCATGATTTAGGCTACAGCTCATCAGTCATGAGTCACACGGGGCCAGGCAAGGAATCCGTGGGCTGCAGAGGCATCTGAGCACAGCACAAGCCCACAACGTGGCACTGTTGAGGGGGGTGGGAAGGCCTGCACAGAAGTGTCCCTGATGACCAGGCTGGCGGGAGGATGGCTGGGATGGAATAGAGTGGACATCTATACCAATGTGGGTGCCAGGAAGGCTAGGTGCTCCTCAGCAGAATGAAGCAGAGTAATGAAGTGTGAGACATAGCCTTGGAGATACCTGTCTGGAGTTGCTGGCAGACTGACACTATTTTAATAAGCACCACTAACTACCACTGGGCATGGAAATATAAGGATGGCTGACAGGTGATTAAAAAGGAATCAGTGCTAAGTAGGAAGAAATGGCTATTCATATATATATATATATATATATATATATATTTTGGGGGGGGGGGTCTTTTTGAGACTAGGTTTTGCTGCGCAGTGCAGGCTGGCCTTGAGCTCATGTGGTAGCCCAGGCTGGCCTCTAGCTCACAGGGATCCTCCTGTTTCAGCCTCCCAAAGGCTGGGATTACAGGTGTGTGTCACTGTGGCAGGCGTTAAAAACACAATTCTTACAGCTGAGGCAAAGTATTCTGTCAATGAACATTATTTTCAGGCTTGCTGACCCAAGAATAAAAAATCCGTCTTATCAGATGAGTTACTGCCTATACGCTGTTTTAGCTACATATCCATCTGAGATATTGACTCTTTAACTGGAATTATTCTGTGGAAGCAGGGCTGCACATGAGGCTCTCATTAATTGCAGGACTGTGAAGGCAGCCAGTATGACACTCCAGCTTCTATGCAGCAAGGGCCCAGTGCAGCAGCACCTGCATACAAGTGTTTATCCTAGGAACTGGGGGGCTCCTCATAGCCTTGTGGAGGGCTTGGCACAGGTTCAGAAAATCCTCAGATTTAATTCTCAGCCCCAGCTCCAAAAATGACATCTGCTGCATCTTCTCACATGCAGGCCACATGGGACTGAGGTGCTCGGCAGCGTGGCAGTCCCCAGGCCTGTGGCTCGCTTCAGACATACTGTTGCTAGCCCAGGGCAGCATCTGCCTTTCTTTTCCAAATCAGACTGACAGTAAGCTGCTTCTGTCCCTTCTCAAACATGCATAAAAGACATTCTCATGAGAAGACCAGAACACCAATATTTCAGAGGCACCCTTAAGGAGTGAATTTTGAGAGTACCATCTCCTTAACAATACATTTAAGTTCTGCCATAAATCAACTTTAATTCTTAATCCAATGACACCTAACTAGAAAAGACACTGCTGCAAAGTTCAGTGGAAGATGAACTCTCAAAGTGAAGCTCCCACTACTTGTCCAACTCTATCAACAGTTAAAGACCTAGCACCTGACAATCACTATAACCAAAAGAGCAGATCCAAGCTCAAGTAGTATTTTAAATACGTAACTCAAATAATTATGTGTGTGTGTGTGTG